CTGGAAATGTTCAATCAGAAGTGCTTCTCCAGAAGGACAAAGATACCTTTACATTTAAGCAAGGATGGGCATTTCCAAGAAAAGTATACTTTAATGGTGATGAATGCATGTTACCACCACCAGATACTTATCCCTACTTACCCAACTTTGCTCACCAGAACCTGGTTGCCTTTTCTACATTGTTTAGTTCTCTGATTTTGCTTTTACTTGTTCTGTTTTAATCATTTCTAGTTTGTGAATAACTAAAAAATTTTGAAGCAATGCAACTATTGCATCATGTATTAGTAGCACAGGTACATGAAAAATCTTTGATAGAACATAATGTCTTGATCATGTGTTACTGCATTATAGGGAATTTGAGCATGTTGGTTCATGACTCTGTGAATGTCATTGTAACTCTCCTGGAATACTAGAAATAGCTTAAATAAACGCTTTGTACAACATAGCCTAATGCAACAGAAGCCAGAAGGAGATGAATTCACTGAATTGTTAAAATGTAAAATAAAAAAGAAGGTAGAGTTGCACCAGTAATATAATGGAATGAAAATGGCTCAAATAGTATTCGAATTCATTTGCAAAGAATCTCTTTACGATGTATGAAGAGCTTACAAGGTGATACTAAAAAACAGGAGTATATAAAGAATTTGATGCTCTATCTATTCTTTGTTCGCGGAAAGCTTTAGTAGCACTGTGAGCTTGAGAAATGTACAAAAAACAAGTGGTTTTAGCAGGTGAGCAGAACATGTAATAAAACAGCTAAAGGAAATCTACTGATAGGCACTGACCAATTGGACAGTGATATACTTCTATATATATGCAAAGAAGAATGCCATAGAGGACAGAAGTGTCACTAATAACTTAAGCAAAGAGATCTTCCATTGGCAAACAGCATTTGGCAAATGCGGATCTGCATCAGGAGGTGGCATGACAGAAACATCATTCGACAAATGTGGATATGCATCGGGAGGTGGCATAGCACAGTTATCACCATTGAAATAAACTCTGTTAGGAAAAGCCCACCCCTTATCGGAAGTGAAATTTGATGTATCTTTTCGGAGTAGAAGTTCGAACTGGACATTTCCTAATGGACCAGGTTGCATGAGCAGATCATCATCGGATTTAACACCCCAGAACATAGCAGTATCATCTGCGAAAAGGGCCAGGAGATTAGTCATATATGTAAGGAAACTTAGTAGTAATATTTTCAATAGAGTAATATTTCCAACCAAAAGAATGGACTGCGATTCTAGACAATGTTTTCAAAGGCAAAAGGAGCACAGGCTTGTTAGGGCTTTAAGCTCAAATCGCAAACAAGGCGCGAGCTTTAGTGGTAAAAAAGGCGCACATAAAGGAAGAAATACATACATAGTTCAAGAATGATATTTATGAGCACAAATGAGAATTATATGGACAAAGGAATTTAACAAATTTATAATTAAGTGAAATATTTATTGTTTAGTATGTCTCTTCGGGACAATGCACATTGGTGATGAGACATCCGCCTTAGCGCCTTGTTGACTGCAATGAACTGCTGCCTAAATGAGGCAAAGTGCTTAGCCAATTTTGCAGTTAGCTTCAGGGCTCAAGTGCGCCTTAAGTGAGCATTTGGTAAAAGTAATTCTAGATTAAAGCATGGAGCATGTATAGTAGTTATCCATTTAACATCTAAGTAGTAGCTGATGTTTAGGTAACACAAATGAAATAATATAACATTTATAATTAGATGGAGAACTTACTTATCACTCCATCAGGAATTAATGACTTGTAATTGATGCTGAAAAGCTGAGTGATGTTATCAAGGTTCGGATGCTGGACAACTAAGTTCCATTGTGTATAATTCATATGGTAATTGAAGTTTGTTATAGTGATCTTAACCCTCCAATAATCCTTGTAGTTGAGCTTCACATGCCAACGAATTCCAACTGGGCACATATGATCTGTGCACTGGACCAAAGGAGTAAAGTTTTTCTTTCCATGGTCCGAAACAATTGAAGATAGATGCGGCGTTTCTGGACTGCAAAAAAACAAAGGTGAAGTACACTGACAGTAAATAACAAAATAATTCAGAGATTTAAGCCGTCAGAGAAAGAAATTGAAGAAAATATTTTGTAAGACATACTTCACACAAGTTCCCGGCTTAGTGCCATTATTCTCGCATCCACAAGCACATGTAGGGCAAGGTACAATCGTGTCATTGTAGGACGACGATAGGGAGACACAACATTTAGGATTTTTCTCAGCCAAGAACTGTGCGTATGCGCATGTGACATTCCAAGTCACTGTCATTAACAGTACAGAGTGTTAGAGGTTAGCCTTTATTATAAAACTGCAACTACATGCATTTTAATGAGCATGATAATAAAGTTGAAGCAATTAACTTACTCATAGCCTGTGTCACTCTTCTCCCATCTGGAGTAACAAATTTAGTCGGTTTAACAATTTTAGCAGGTCCGCAAGTATAACCAGGCCCCGGCGCTTGTAACGTGAAGTTCTTAGGTACTCTAACTGTATTGTTGTTTGTTCCGGCAGAACCAACATTGAGTTGGAATAAAGTAACAGCAGTTGCAGGATCTTTCCCCCATGAATTGAGCACTCCTCCCTTGCAGCAATTTGCAATTTGCTGGTTATGAGGAGTTTCCGGCAGCAAGTCAACAACTGTTGGATTTTTCTTGCAGCAATGAGGAATATCTCCTTTGAATTTTGAGCAATTACCTTGCTCTATAGTCCGACTTCCGATCATATTCCATATTACCTCATCCTTAGCCCATGTCCATCTCAAAGTCCAGCCTGGTGGTTGGATATGCCTATATTGCTGGAAGTTGTACATAGTCACTACAGCCTGTACAAATGCTAAACAACTAAGATGACACTTTCCATTCGACAAATGTTAATAATGAGAAGTAAAAGAACTACAAGTTAATGCACTATAAGACAGACTGAATATAAGACTGAGGTCCAAAGGCTGTACTATTAGATGTCTTTCTTAACGGACGTGCAAAAACCTTAAAAGACAGATAATATGGACAAGCGATAGCTAATGCTTGACAGAACTAATAACGAAGAAGCCATTCTTAATCAAACTTGCAATGCACATAGCAATAGATCAAATTTATTCTTACAACATATCCATCTGGTGTCCAGCTCATGACATCCCATTTTATTGTGATGTTCCCATTCGGATCAAGTGCATCATACGCATCTGGAAGAAACGCAGAAATAAAAATGTAAGAGAATGACAAATAATGTGAACAAATATAGTAAAAATACAAGTTATATGATATGCATCTAACCATAAAAAAGAGACATAATCATTTTCAAGAAAAAGGGATAGCCAATTTCTTGATGTTCAAAATTATAGGTCAACTCCCTGATCTCTCCGAAAATAGCCAGCTTTCAGCATAAATTACTTGTTTTTGGTACAAGGGAAGTCATTTTCCTTTGAGATATATTTTGCTGAAATATGCTTTTCGGTGTTTGGTTGGTGAGTCGGAAATATTTTTGGAAAAAATATACTCCCTCCGTTCCAATTTATGTGAACCTGTTTGACTGCGCACGGAGTTTAAGAAAAAATGAAGACTTTTAAAATTTGTGGTCCTAAACAAGTCAAAAAGGGGCCCAGAGTATTTGTGTGGTTATAAAAACTTCTCATTAAGGGTAGAATTGTAAGTTTAAGCTAAATTGTTTCCAAATTTAGAAATGAGTCATTCTTTTTGGAACGGACCAAAAAGGAAATAGGTTCGCATAAACTGGAACGGAAGGAGTACTATTTGTATGTTAAAGATTAATAATAATGTTCGCAAGTTGGAGAATTCTCTCATACAATTTGAGTAATAATAAATAATAATAGTAATGTGAAAGTATTAGTTGGAGCAAGTAATATGAAGTTAAAAGTTAATATGAAGTAGTATATCAAGAACTACGTAAGACGCTGACTAGAAAACTACAAAGTGGATTCAGAATTTGGGAGTTTGTGTGCAAACCTGTTGAGGAAAAGCAAAGAAATGACAGCAAGAACATCAATAGTACAGAGGCATTGAACTTTGAAAGAGATCTGAAGAACTTCATTCCTTGAAGATTTGTGGCTGAAGAATTTCTTGTGTTTTACTGAGTTAAACTCTGCTCAGAATAGGCTAATTGAAGCGGGAGAGAAATTAAAGAGGGAGAAAGTTGACAATGGTGGTCAGTGGCAAGTTGGATTAATTCCATAATCACATGCCTTGTTTACTCATTTAAACCAACTTGGAGGTTTAAGTAGTGGTGCTTGACTTTTAAATTGTGTATGCTAACAGTGTATAAATTATTCTCACCATTAGTTGACCTGTAACAACACGTACTCTTTCATGGGATTTAAGTTAGATATATACACTGTGAATTTTACACTATTCGCGTGAATTAACATATTATAACTGGTTACTTACCATTTATTCTGGGTTACTAATCAATGTTTGTTAATTAGAATTACCTAATCAATGCTTATTAAGTAGAGTTACTTGTAATCGATGTTTTTTTTTTGAATGTAAGTTTGTTTGGAACATGGAATTAAGGGAACTAATGAAAAAGGATGGTCAATGACTGAATGTACCATAATAACTATCCTTGTTCTAAGTATTAGCATTGTTAATCAGAGATTCTCCGCAGCTCATGGATCTCATTATTTGTGTCGTTGGTGAACCATGGGGTGGGAAGAAGTCAAAGGACATATCGTACTAATTTAACATCGTACTTCTTCGTTGTCATCATGATAATGTCATCGTTGTGGTAAAGTTATTTAAATTGAAGTAGCATGTGCATAATTTAAACTGCACCCATTTGCGCTCATTATTCTATCTTACATCCATTACGTTTTACTCTGAAAATTTTGGAATACTAACTAGTGAAACTATGTTTTATCAACACCAAAAACTCAGTTTACGAAATAAAGCAAGTTGGAAAATCTAACAATATTCAGCCTAACTCAAAATAATGGCATACAGCACAACAAACTTAAAGAGTCTCTAGCAACCAATTCCTAATTGGTTTTGATCTAAAAGGCTACAGCATCAAGTAAAATATGGTGCCATGGATATCTTACTATATGAGAAGTAAAAATGTGAAAACAAAAACGGTTTATTTCAATTATTTCTTCTTCTTTAAATTTTTTTTTGGTAAATATCTTCTTTAAAATTTTAAAAACTCTCAGATTCTAGATTTTTGCTCCAGTGGGCAATTCTCATTTCTGCCTATCATAAATAATCTAAACAGAATAAATTAGCTGGATAAGTTGCACATATACATGAGGGTTTACTCTGCACATCTCTGATACAATAGAAGTGTCGACAGCACCTGAATCTTTCTTCTTTTTTTTCCTTGGATCGGTGAGAGAGCATCCGTTTTGGAACATGTTAGTATAGCTTCATAGAAGGATTCTGAGAAATAACTTCAGATTGGTGGAATCCTTGAAATTTCTACCAATATCTTGTGTAGGGCTTGAGGCTTGGAGAAGAAAGGTGAGTGATCAGCACCCTTGAGATGAAAAACTCGTTCCGGAGGATTTTGGTTAATCATGCTCTGTTGTAAAGCTATTGGTATAGCATTATCTTCTGTTGTTTCTACGTAAAACCGTCTGATGGAACCATACTTGATGTTTGACAGGGGAAGCTTCTCAAGAACTGGGGAAAATGGAATTGGCCTCATTGAGACAGAAGCCAAAGCAACATCCTGAAAAATTCAAGAAGTTAGTATAAAAAGCTTTGAATATGCACAAAAGGAAGATTCCACACAGGTATCTGACATTGATTTTGTTATTTAACACACAGCTACTAGAACAGGATGAATGTTATAAGCTAGTTCCAGAAACAAATAACTGAATTTCTCTATCATCCTCCTAATAGACTAGCATCCTTAGCACTGAGGTTAGAGCATTAATGGATAACTTAAAAACATCTGCTGGGGTTTTAAGTTTTAACAATTCATATCAAGGTATGTAAACACCATTTATACAAGAATCAGATGAGATATAATTTCCTCTTAGGATGTTTACATTGTCTACAAAGGACTAGGAAACCTACTCAAGTACAATGACACACCCCAGTGTCTGCTGCCTATAGATTCACCATTTCAAGGCCATCGAAATACGCCTTAAAATCAATGTGTTACTAATTCATATGTAAAACTTTTTGGCAACACTCATCCTCCCAAATCCCAATGTACCAAAGTCTAGCTTGACCCCCTTCGAGATTAAAAGGAAAATATACTTGAATAAGAGAAATACTTTCAGTGCACATTTAGAGAAATAACTAAGGTCCAAGAATGAAAAATATACAACAAGAAGGTAAAAAGGAAAAGTATATAAAGGGGGTCTTATTTCACCATTTCCTTTTCTTCTTTTTTCTTTTCTTTTTTCCCATTTTTGCTTTTTTCTCTTCTTTTCACACCATCCAAACTAAACATTAAAATTTGCCACTTTATGAAAGTAACATTTAATTTGTGATCAACAGTTTCATACAGGACAACATACCTTAGCAGGACTATGGTTGAATAGTAAGTCCCTCAGGAGTGATTTGTCCAGATCAATGGCAGTTGGTGGTTTATCATTCCCATTGGCATAGAGAAATACTTGAGACTGTCTCATAAGATCATTTGAATTCGTCTGCAATAATTTTGAGCTTCTTAATAACAATAAATAAACTTCAATTCTGTAATGAAACAACTAGCTAAAAGCATCTGACCCACACATTCAAGGGAGGAAACAGAACTAGAGAATTGTAGTCCTATTGGGTGGAATGACATTATGCTATCCAGTGTTATTGGTACATGGAAGGTACAATAAGTGGGATTGAAAAGGTAAGAGATCCTCCAGATTATAATCAATGTTTCAGGCACTTGTTGAGTCACCTCATCCTCGACCCAATCCCTTTAACTCATGAAAGACTGGAAAAGCTGGTGGAGGAGAGACCCCTTCAATATTACCCTCTCTCTTATTCCTTCCCTCTCCAAAGAAGAGCCCTAGGCAGTTTACTTTCAGTGGTTAATCCAAATCCTTCTCCCCATGTCAAAAATACTTTTTCTCCAAGAGATGAACACAAAGGTTACTCACAAGTTTACCGCACAAGCTACAGCTGGATCCTGGGGAACTGAATTGCAAGTAGATGAACCTCACGCGTTCACTATAAGCAGATAATGTATATCAAAGGTTCTCATGATGAACAGAAAATACATTAAAGATTTCACAAGACAAAAACTGCAAAGCCTAAAAACAGATGGATGGCATAAAATCCTGAAAAAACGAAATTCGATTTCTTCATGTATTCTTCATCACTAGAGAACTGCTGAGTTCTAACACCATTTGAAAACAAGGTTGTAACCTGGAGAAGGAGAAATTTACCTCATGAGTAGGAGCACCAACACTCAACTGATTGCAACTTATCATCCAGAGGATTAGTGAAATCAGTATTCTATAAAGCAGTTTCGATAGTCTACGCCCATGTACTTTAGAAATACATGCCCCAATTCACAAAATAAAAACCAAACTAAACTTCTTACAAGGACTCCGCACAAAACAAACTATGAGCAGGGCTTAAGAGTCGCTTTGCATATGCAGTCCATGCATAAAACTATGATTAGGGCTGAGTGTTTCTAAACCATATACGGACAATGTGTTTAAATAAAGCAAAATAGATTTTATATAACCTTACAAGAAGAAGACCAGATGACTTAGATTTTGGAAGAATCAAATGAAAGCAGTAAATAAAAGTATGAAAATATACCTTATCTGAGAAAATATCAAGGGCACTTTGTCCACTAATGAGCATGGTGGCAGCAACAAATATCGCTTTTGAAACTTTAGAGGGATAGAGCTCCATTGCGAATGATATGCATGCACCACCAAAATCATGTCCCACCAAAATCACCTACAGTGTGAAAAAAGATTCACAATATTGTACTAATAGACTAGCTAAGGAAAACAGATATCAGAAATTCTGGAATTTGTCCTGGTAGTAAATTTGGGGTTCTGAAGAATTGGCAGATTTCAGCATTTAATCTCCAAGTATGACAAATCAAGCACCACTTTTTTTTATCAACTTTGCCATTCCACATAAAGCAAGCCATTAGTCTAATGTAAGAATTAGCATTCTCTTCTGTCTTCTTTAAAAATTCTTTGTTCACTATTAGTTTTTCATTGTTTTATTTCAATACCGATCAACCATAAAGAAAAATGTAACCCTTCATATCAGGTGTCAAAGGCAAAACTTTGAAATGCAAAGGAAGATGCTCATCGAAGATGCTAAAGTTCTTATGAACAATCTCCTGAATCTGGAAGAATATCTTTTTTCAGATCTTCTGCGTCGAGTACTCTTATGAGTATTATACTCTCGTAAGAATGGAAGACAATATGATAGAAACATCAGAAGCAGAGAACCAGAAATGCCGAAGTACTAACCTTCTCTCCATCAGCGAGCTTTTCAAGAAAATCAGTGAGTGGCTTTGCATATTGCGATAGGCTGGTGATGTTATTTGTGTCAAAAGAATGAATGCCTGAACCAGTTAAATCCACTGCAGTCACCTTAAATCCAGCCTCCTCTAAAAGTGCAATGGTTTTATACCAACACCAGGCTCCAAATCCACCACCATGGACAAGGACAAAATGGTTTGTCTCTAAATCATCAATGGTTAATTCCTGCCCATTATATGCAGCCATCCATTTAGCATGAAAGTGGAAGATCAAATATAGACACAGCCACAGGCAAAACGCATTGTTTCTTTACTATTAGAGCAGAACTGAGACCTCTTTACTTATCTGTCAAAAGCCGGAATAAGCAAACGAAAAGAAGCTACATTTCAGAAATAACAAGTATCAGTCTATACGTTCCATTAATAGCCAAATGAGGGCAATCTACTGTACTATACTCAAGCAGAAAAGTTAGCTACAGTGTCCAGTTCTGCAGGTTTGGTTCTCCGCACCTTGCCTTCTGGTGCGGAATTCTCAAGGTCTCAACAATTTCAAACCCTCAATGCATTAATCGAATTCTAATCAATTTACCTCAAATGGAACTTCTCTACTAGGATTTGCAGTTCATCAGGCAGATGTGCATCAAAAATTGAAAACATGCGGATTGACAGGTTATAAATGTCCCATCTCGGCTATAAAAGGGAATCCGAAGAGGTTTATAAAAAATGACTTATCAAAAAGAGGTTTATATATGTACTCTACCTATTATCTTGAGGTTTGGGTTGAATACTCGAATTCTTTACAGCTTCCAGTTTTGAGCAAGTATCTCAATTCTGAATTAGTTAATGAAGACAAGAAAGCCTTACAAAACCACGAATCAGTCGATGGTACACAACGAACACAACAAAGCAAATCAACCAAATGCCGCAAGCTAACACACCTCCCCCCTCCCCCCAAAAAATAAATAACAATAAATAAAGGTACTCCCCCTTTCTATTTATATATAACAGTGTTTGATTGGGTAAAGAGTAAAAATTCATTTTAAAATTGCTGGAGGATGAAAATGATGATGTAATGGTTGAATAGTTACTTTAATAGAGGAAACATCACATCAAAACTTAAAATTTGAATAATTTGATTAACTTGAATTTTCCTAAGTTAATTAAGTACCTTGTTAACAAGCTGGTGAGGCTGAAGCAGAGGATCAGTAAGAGAGCGAGACCTAGAACTCGAGCTACGTGGCAATGCTTGGTTCTTCTTAGACTTACAGTTCGAATACCGCATCGACGTCGAACGATCAAACGGTACACGGCCACCATTTTGCAACTGTTGCTGGAACAAAATCGCGGCCGCCAACGCTCGGTCCTGAGCGAACGAATCGTCCTTCTTCGACGACCGGAACCTAGACCACCGGTTGCTTCCGGTTCCGCCGCCACCTACGGCCGTGGATTGATTCGTCAAACGCTTCGACGGCCGCTTCTTCACGGCCGACTTCCTGGAGAAACATAGCCCCATTCTCGGCGATCTTTTTCACATGCAAAAGCTTCACTGAAAGTATTTATAATTATACCGTATACGAAGAAAAAATACGTATGTGTCGAGTAGATGATGAGAAATGGAGTTAGCGCTGAGTTTAAAAGGAGACGAAGGTGGTTACAGACTGTAATGGAGATATAAAAACGGACGTATTGTTTGCCATTATTGCTAAAAACTAGTTTTTCCACACGTGCAACGCACGTGTATTCTACCAAGATAGCAAAAACATAGGTGAAAACAGTAATTACATAATTAATCCCTTTCTTCCAAATTAGATTTGATATTTTTTTTTTAGTTTGTTTCAAAATAAATGAGGTATTTTTAAATTTGGAAATAATTCAACTTTAAACTCTTCATTTTACCTATTTTACCTTTACATTCTGTTTGGATCATTGTTCCCCATCGTTTTATAATGTATTGTATTGTATTGTATCGTATTGTATCGTATCGTTTTATGAATACAATGTTTGGATAGATTGTATTGTTTGTTACTGTTGTTGCGGCCAAACGCACACGCAAGTATACACGGTCGTCAAGTAATAAAGTGACTAAAAGTCGGATGTCGATCCCACGAGGACTTGTGATTAACTATTAACTAAATTAGACTATCCTAATTATCTATACAAGAATTAAACCTAGAAGTATTTGATTCTAAACTAATTAAAATAAATAAAAACAAATAATGAACTTTGAACAGAGAAAGAGCAGATTTTTATGATATCAATGTAATGAAAACGATCTAGGGTTATCGGCTATTTAACATTCCTATTGTATTCTTCAATTGAATTGACTAATTAATTTATCTAGTTTATTGGTTGACAGGGTTCGTACTGCTCATAAGAATCTGTCGAGTTCTTACTCGTCTATTCAAACTAACCTAACGCCTATATGTCTATGGAGTTAGAATCAACAAGAACGCATTTATAATTCTTGTATTTCAACCAAGCAAGGCAATTAGGTATATGTCTATCCTAATTGCGAATCCGTTCCCCGATGCCCAGGTTCAAGAACTTGCTCTACTCAATCCTATATGCAATCTAGAGTTCCCACTTTCGAGTTCAACTCTAGATTCGTAGATAATATTCAATTGGTGATCAAACAATTAAATAATTAAGCACAAGATTGAGTAAATAAACCAATATGATAAACTAAGAAATCAAAATCAATATCCGAATAACAATAGTCATGAAAGAACCACAACCCTAGAACGTGAAGTTTAGCTCCACATAGACATGGTAACAAAACAACAAATCATACAAAGAAACATAAAAAGACTAAGTTGGTGGAAGAAAAGATGAAACCCGGCCTCCACGGCGGCTCTGTGCTTGTGTTTTCCTCTCAAAAACGTCCTTCTCCCCTCAAAATACCGTTTTTCCATGTATATATACCAAGTAGGGTTGGGCCCAAACAGTTATACCTTCTCCAATGTGAAAAAGGACATTTTTTCCGGGTGACTAGCGCAACTTCTCGCTAGTTTCCTGACATTCTGCCTCCAGCTTCTAGACTAGCGTGACTTCGCGCTAGCTTCGCGCTAGAGTTTGCACATTTTTCACCCTGTTCCGTTCTGAATTTGGAAAAACGTAAAACATAAAAGTTGTAGCCCTTTGAGTTATCTTTCCAACCATATATTGTGGAGAGAAAATGGAGTTCTGAGGAAAAAGTTATATCTATTTTACTAGACAGTGCGTAATATGCCTACTGGAGTCTTTGTTCGCTCTAACTATCATCTGTTGACCCCCAAACACGATCCCGGCTTAATTCCTTGAACTTTTTCTCAAACTTTAAAGCTCCAAATCACTTGAATTCATTACATAACATCTATATAGCTCGGAATCACTCCTACAAGGCATAGAACACACAGTTAGTGCAAGACACTAGCGATTAAAGCTCAAACTCAATTAGGCATAAATATAATACAATTTAGAATGTAATAATGCACTAAAAATATGGAATTATAGCCAAACATCACTACCCCACACTTAAACGTTGCTCGTCCTCGAGTCAACCAATACTTTACTCTGTCTTTGAGCACTTAACATCTTAACACATTTGGAGCACACTACACCAATGACCATGGTTGATAGCAACAATTAAACTCTAACATATGCAACAATTCCCTTTTACTCATGCTATTCTTAAAAAAATTATTTACAACAAAGACAACATGCTCACAACAATCCTAGCCTCAAAAATCGACTCAATGTTACAATGCACTCTTGGCTTGAACACCCAACATCGTAGAGAAGTCTAATAACGTTACCTATCCCTCATGAAGCCATGTGCCCTCACAGCAAGAACAAGAGAATACGTTGAACCCACACAATCAAATCTCATGATCAAATATAGTTTAAAGACTCATATATATATATATCAAAGAACTCTCTCTCTCTCACAAAAGAAGTCACATGCATGCACTTGGTACCATTGGCTTGACCATAATGTAAATCTCTACTAATGTAGGCTCGCTCGATCTAAAATCAATTAGGACTTTTTCATGGTTGTAATGTGGGCTAAGGGACGAGTAGAATATATTTAGGAATAGTGACTAACCCTCCTAAGCACTTTAACACACCACATAATCAACTTTAAGCTCAAATTCTTCAATCCACTTCACTTTCACAAACAATATCACCCCAAAAATGCTCCCTTCTTCTTTAAGCACTACACTAATTCATACCCACTAGCAGGAACAAGACAACAATTTATTCATCTCTATTTTTTTTTCAATTTCCGCTAGTGGTGTATTATTTTACAAAACAAGTGCACCTTTCTTCCTTTTATTGGTTCCACTCAAAAGCCACCCCACACTTAGTTCCTTCTTACTTCTTTTAGCGCTCATCTCACAATTAAAGTGCTTTAAGAGGAAAAATGATCAAAATAATGTCAATTTAAGAACAAAAAGGGTATATGCTTGTAATGTGGGTGCCAAATAAAAGTCCATAGGCTCAAAAGGGTTGACTAGGGATAAATTTTATTTTTGGTAAGCAATTAAGCTCAAAAAGATCAAAGAAAGCCTAAAATCAATTTTCAAACCGAGCATCACCTAAAATTTCGCTTCGACTCACAAACCGGGCAAGTTCTAGGCACAAGTACAATACATGGACTACACAAAAACCTCACCACACATGGCACATGACTCACTAAGGACGATTTCATTCCGACTCTCAAACAAATGCAAGTATTCACGGAGTCACGAGATATTAAGCATTAAGCACAAAGTGAACATAAGTCAAGAAAATGAGACATAGGTATCACAAGACATGCTATCCAAGTAAGCAAGGCATCATCAATAATTTCAAATCATAGGGAAGATACTACACATGCCAAAGCCTAAATATGCTACTATCAAACAAGTCGAAGGCGCCTAGGTATCTCATCTTTCTTCCTCCATTTATTCCCTAAATTCCTAACCTACTCTAAAAATAAAAATAAAAATACTACTACCCGGTTCAAGCTACATCCCATGGAAAAGAACCGTTGCACAAAGAAAAACCATGGGGGATTATTGCTACCTAAAAAAAAAGACATATTTTTGTGTTTTTTTTGGCAGAATAGCCTCGTAGGCACTTGTACTTGTTAGCGTTTGTCATCCCGGTAACTATACTCAAAGAAGATTCATCCAAACACTTATAGTTGTTCAAAGCCAATATTTTAAACCCCTCTCACCTCGCGTGTTCTTCAAATCTCTGACATGGATGACACATCAGTGGCCACGTCAAATTTTTTGTTACACATCATTATAACTTATTTTTCACATTATTTTAAAATTATTCATTTCCTTTTCTTTTATTCCACCATTTACTCCATCTTCCTCCTCCCTCACCATTTTTATTCTCCATTCACAAATTTTAAAAATCTCCTAACCATCACTGTGTGCGACCCCTCTTCGACCATCCTTCACCTACAAAGCTTCTTCACAGCCAACATTCCACCATAGCATCACCAATCAACCACCAAAAGCTAAACCGGCCATCAATAATGACCACCCGAAAGACCAACATCACCCAAAACTTTTTGAAATTTCACTACAAGAAAACTAGAAAATAGGTTTCACCGGCGATCTTCTTTCATTATTTCTATTTCTTTTCTTTGCAAAGGCTATCTTTCAAAGTAGGGAATGGGGTGTGAGAAACAAAAATTGATGCAAATCTGGTACATGTTTTGGATCTATAGCGACGAGGGATGTCATTGTTTGGATGAAGATATGGTGGGGAGGGTACCGTTGCTGTGGGTTTGGGTTAAAATGGGGGAAGATGAGCAAAGTGAAGAAGGGAGGGAGACAGGGAGGGAGACAGAGAGGGGGGGGGGGGCGTCCTTGGTGGGCGACAGAACATAAGAGAAAGAGAAAAATTACCTATTTGGCCTTTTCTTTCTTTTCTAATTTGATTTTTTGAATTTTTCTTTTTCTTTTTTCCTTATTTTAATCATAATTTTTTTACGTTCACGCTCCTTATATGCATGAAATACACGATTTTGTCCAGTTCAGCGATTAAGTTGCCACATAGACTTGGTCAATGGTCAGAGGGGTTTAAAATATTACTTTTGAACCAGTAGAGGTGTCTAGATGAAACTTCATCAAGTTTGGGGACCGGGATGACAAAGTGGCACAAGTATAAGTGTCATTTAGGCTATTCTGCCTTTTTTTTTTTGTTTAGACTTTAATCCCTCAAGAAAGCTGTCCACAAAATCCATCGTCGGGAAAAGTCCAAATTTTTCAATTTTTTTTCCTTTTTTTGTTTTTTTTTGTTTTATTTTTTTTTAAAAAAAATTACTACACTAAGAACGAGTACTATGACTAAGCTAACATAGCACAGAAAATCACCTAGACAATCTCCTCACCCCACACTTAAAATTATGCAATGTCCTCAATGCACACTAAAAATAACAAGAGGGTAAAAGAGACTCCCTGGTAGGCCAAAGGCCGAAGCATTAGCAGCTCACGGGATACTCAGACTTCTCCCAGGTACGATCCTTTGTGCGGTCACCCTACACTAAGTTCTAACCATATGACTCACTTTTGCACACTCCTGTGGCTTTACTCCCTATGCTCAAAATCCTATAAAATAAAACAACACTACAAAAATAATAAAAATAATAAAATAGACATAAATAAAAGAAAGCAGTAAAGTTG